GTCTTAGAGAAGGCCCGAGTCAGTCCCTAACGCAGAGCACTGACGTTGGCCAGCCAGACCCTGTGCCTTCGGCTCCATCTTCCTCTGGGCCTCATCCATCCCACCTCAGGATCTTTGTGCCTGTCGCTCCCTCGGCCCGAAAGCTCTTCCCTTGAACGCTGCTTGCTTGGCTCACTGCCTCACCTCCTCCCAGAGTCCTTCCCGATGAGGCCTCGGTGTGTTTAAAATCGCCAACGCCTCTCCCTGCTCAATTGCTGAAGCTTTCGACATAGCACATTTATTTAACCATAAGCTCACTACAGGGATCTCAGGCTAGTGGGCAAGCACTAACCAAGTCGTTGGCTGTTCAGGCCTACCAGCTGCTCCGAGCAAGCGAGCCGTGGCAACGTGCTTCTGGAAAGATTCAGAGCCTGGGACACGCAATGGGCCGTGGTCTTCCGCCTTGCAGAACCACGTGGAGTCGATGGCAATGGGTAGCGTCCGCACCTGGTTTTGAACGCTCGGTCTCCCCACAACAAGCGGTGTCAGGAAACAGGAGGTTCTGCTGCTTGGTGCACTGCTGCCCCCTCAGCGCCCAGCATGGGACCCAGTGTTGACAGGTGCTGAATAACACCCCGCCCTCTTGGCCCCCAATGAATCAATGAGGACTGTTGGTTTTGCATGTCAAGGTGAAGGCAGTAAGAAATGACCCTTAGTTCCCCCTTGTCCCCCTTCCTTCCCCCAGTGGCCGAACTGTGCGTCCTGTATAGACAGAATGAGGAGGAGATGGCAGGCGAGCTTGTGGCCTTCGTCAGCACGCGTAAAGTGGACCTCACTCCCGAGACGCTGAGCTCCTTTGAGCACGAGGTCAGAACCAAGCGGGAGCCCGCACGGCCCACTCCCCATTTCCGTTCTCTAGGGGAGGCGGGGGGAGACGTTGGGAAGCGGGGGCACTTTGGAACCCAGCAGAGCCGGGCACCAGTCCTGACGTGAGCTTGAGCAAGCAGCTTCCCAGCCCCGAGCCTCATTGTCCTCTTCGGTCAAGTGGTTCTGAGCAGCCTTGTGTTCCACGTTGGTTAGAGAAGCTGGCGGAGAAGGAAGGGCGTCCTGGGCCCCGCAGTGGGTGGTCTTGAACACACAGGACTGGCGTTGTCAGCATCGGAACCGAGCACCTCAGAGGGGTGGTCACGGGCGAAGTCCTCGTGTCGCACCTGTGGCACATCTGAAGACATGAGTTCTTTGAGAGATGTTACACATTGGAGTTTTTGTTTAATCGGCCATTGAAAACCCCGGAGGGCACAGTTGTCCTCTGACATGCGTGGAGTGGCCACGAGTCGGAATCAGCTAGACAGTCATGACTTGTTGTGTCCAGACTGTGGGAAATGCCTCCTCTGTGACTTTACTGCGGGGTGATGCCTTCCCTGTCTTTCACGCCTCAGTTTCTCAGCAAGCAACTGTCCAAAGGCCGGCCCGGTGCCTCCCGGGAGAATGAGCATGCGGGGACTCGAGACATTATTTCCATCCAGGAGCTGTATCCTTGTCTGCGGAAGGGCCCCTGGCTTTCTATTGCACTTTCCTCAACGGGTGCCCGTGTGATTTAACAACAGATGGTGAAACTCCCTGATGGTTGCGATGCTTCCTTATCAGCCCTCGCTGTGGTCGCTTCTTTTACTCTTTGTGTTGTTTTGTTTGTTGTCATCGTAAGTGAAGCATGTCCTATACACAGGGTAAACCATTCCATCGCCCCACGTACATGCCGCAGGGACCACTCTCACCCTCTCTTGCCGAGTGGCTTGCTCCCCATTAACATAAGCTTACTGCCCCAGAGGGTCCTAGCTCACCTGTCAGTGGTTGTCAGCTGTCAGAGAGGTTGGCCTTTAAAAGATCTCAAATGATTGGTCAGTTTTAGACGACTTCGGGGGATGATTTTGGCTTGAGGTTTAACGATGATCGATGATCGTGGGGGTTCCTTTAGCCTCTGTGGTGCCCGACAGTCTAGAGTCCTTGGGAAGTTGGCATTCTCTGTTCTGCATTTTCCCCCTTTTGGTCATCAATTGCACTATGGAATCTTTTTTTTTTAAAGGAAATATATATTTTTTAATCACACAATTTACTATGCTGATATTGACAAGGTCAATAGGAGAAGTTCACATTCATTGGCAAAAGGAATCTCGCGCACTATGGAATCTTTGGTGGGAAAGTTCAGGCGTGGCTGTTGGGTTCCAGTCTCCCGGCTTCCACAGCCTCCTCTGGTTGTCTTCAAGCCTTTTGGGACTCTAGGCTTTATACCGGGAACATGCTGTTAGACGATGACTGGATGTCCCGTGAAACCCTGACCCTGACCTTGGGGGGAAGCTGACCTGGTTTTCCTTAACCAGCACGTGTAGAATTGAAGTCGAGGAAGAAGAAGAGACCCTCTTGAACTCTTACACCACCCCCTCTAAGGTGAGTCCGCAAGGGTTAGAAACTGTATTTGACGACTTTTTTGCACTCTGCCCCCCTCCCCCCTATTCTGAAAGCATGACTCCCCTTTGAGGATCTAAGGGAGACCAGTAACCGCTGCCGTACAGCTGCTGAGCCATTTCCAGTCGTGTGCACGACGGTCTTTACAGCTGCTTGGCTGGGGCTTGTCGTTGCTTGGTGGTTTTTGCATTTCTTGAACTGCAGCTGCTCCATAAGTGCCTTTGAATGGGTAGAGTGTTGTGTTGGGGAGGTTACAGTTGAAAAAACTGTTAACGCCTTGCCAGGGGATCCGCTCCACCTCGCGGCGACCCCACAGGACAGAATAGTGCTGCTCCGTCAGCTTCCGAGGCTGTCAGTCTAAACGCAGATGCCCTCATCTCTCCCATGGGCAGGCGCTGGGTTTGAACTGCCGGCCGTTTGGTGAGTGATCGGGAGGGAGCGTAACCCCTGTGCCTGTGGAGATGTAGAGAAGGGGGGTAGCCAGGCATGGCCTCTGGAGTCTGAGTCCCCGGGAGGTGCCGCTGGTCCAGTGCTAGCTCCTCACCTAGACGTGCCGTGGAGGAAAGACCTGGTGATCGCCTCTCAGAAAGCTCACCCAGCCTTGGGGGCGGGGAAGGAGGGGAAAATGAGGAGCTGATACCAAGGGCTCAAGTAGAAAGCAAATGTTATGAGAATGATGATGGCATCAAATGTACAAATGTGCTTGACATAATGGATGGATGGATGGATGGATTGTGATAAGAGTTGTACAAGCCCCCAATAAAATGATTAAAAACAAAAACCCAACACAGTTAAATCCTTCAAACTTTTCTCCGTCTTCCATGATGCTGTCGTTTGCTCCCGTGGTGAGGACCCCTGCTTTCTTTACATTGAGTGTGTCCACACCGAAGACTGCAGTCTGGATCTTCATCAGCACGTGACTCAAGCTGCTCGCAAGCAGCTGACAGCCAGGCAGGGTTGTTGTTCGGGGCCAGCAGCCAGTTCCAACTTGGGGCGACCGAGTGTACAACGGGTGAACACGCTGTACACAGCAGGGTGGATGTGCTGCGACCACAGACTGAACTGCCTGGTGCTGCCCCAGCGGCGCAGCTGGTGCTGCGTTTCAGCCATGGCTACAGCCCCTACCTCGATCCTCTCGATGAAAGTCTCCCCTTTTTCTCTGACCCTCTACTTTAGGAAGCACGAGGTCCTTCTCCAGGGATTGGCCCTTCCCGATAACACATCCGAAGTAGGTGGGACGAAGTCTCGCCATTCTCACTGCCAAGTAGCATTCTAGCCGCGTTCCTCCCGCTCAGATCTGTTTGTTCTTTGGGCAGTCTGCACGATCTTGACTGTTCTTGGCCGACACCATCATTCAAAGGCCTTGATTCTTCTCCGGGCTTCCTTACTTGTGGACCAGCTTTCTCAGGCCCGTGAGGTGATGAGAACTATTAGGGCTTCGATCGTCGTCGGGTGCACCTTATTGTTCACAGGGACCCCTTGTCCTTCCAACCTTTTAAAAAGCTCTGACACACAGATTTGTCCATGCAGTGCATCGTTGGATTTCCCAACTGCGGCTTCATCATATGTCCAAAGTATGTGAGGCGCAGTCCTGTCCTCCTCGCCTCTAGAGAGCATTCCGGCCCTACTTCTTCCAAGACAGACTTGTTTGTCCTTCTTGTGGTCCACTATAACTTCAGTACTCTGCCAGCCCCACCATTCAAACACATCGGTTCTTCTTCATCTTCCCTGCCCAATGTCCAACGTTCTCAGCATGTGAGGCCGCTGGAAACACCCTGGCTTAGATCAGGCTGTCTTGAGTCCAGAAAGTCACCTCCTTGCTTTGCAACACTGCAGAGCTCCTGTGCAGCAGACTGACCCAGTCACACACGTCTTGATCTCTTGACTGCTGTCTCCGTGGACCCCAGCAAGTTGAAACCCTTGACAACTTCCATCTTTCTTCCATTTATCACGGTGTGACCACTTGGTCCAGTTTGAGGACCTTGCTCTTCTTGACATGGAGTTGGAATCCACACTGAAGGCTGTCATCCTGGCTCGTCATCAGCAAGGACTTCAAGTCCCCCTCACTTTCAGCAAGCAGGGTTGCCTCATCTACATATTGCAAGTCGTTAGTTAATAAGTCGTCCTCCAGTCCTGCTGCCACACTCTTCATGTGACGCAGCTCCTCTGATGATTCACTCAGCGTACACATTGAATAAGTGGGGTGGGAGAATGCAGCCCTGGTGCGCCATTCCTTGATTTTAAACCATACCGTGCTCCCTAGCTCTGCACACCTGCCCCTTGACCTACGTACAAGCCCTGTGGGAGCACAAAGACGTGTCCTGACATCCATTCTTCTCAAGGATATCTATCGTTTGTTTCCACAGAACTGCATGCCTTGACACAGTCAGTAAAACACAGTCTGCCTCTTTCTGGCATTCTTTGCTTCCAGCCAACACCCACCTGACATGAGCAGTGTGCTCTCTTGTTCCGTGCCCTCTTCTGAGTTCAGGAGTTCAACCTGAACCCGTGGCCAACCCTTGTCAATGTGCTGCTGCGACCGTGATGGTAATGGAGCGGGCCGTTGTCCCTTCTCTTTGGGATAGGGACAGATACGGACCTCTTCAGTCAGTTGGCCAAGTGGCTGTCTCTCAGATCTCTTGGCCTAGATAAGTGAATGCTTCCAGTGCCTTATCAGCTCGTCGCAGCATTTCCACTGCTATCCCACCCTCTGGTCAACCTGACTCACAACAGCCCTACAGCGTGACCAGAGCGGCCCCTGTGCCTTTCAAGATGGTAACTCTTTACAGGAGTAGAAAGTCATCTCTCACCACGTGGTTTCCAACTGCTGACCTTGCAGTTAGCAGCCCAACACATCTCCACTACGCCACCCGAGCTCCTCCCTGGAGAAGCAGGTATGTACGTTATGACCCTGCGATTCAGTCTGCAGCCCGGTGTCGGGCTCATCGTGAACACGGAGCGAAGAGTCAGGATATCAGATGGCGCAGTAAGGTGGTAGCTCTGGCCGCACGTACGTTTTCTAAGAGGAGAACACACTGGGAGAGTCGTGGGAGGTGGCTGTGGTGTCGGCACTGTTGCTTGCTGGGTATTTTGAAGTCTGGCTGCAGCACGGCGATGCCTTTGAGTCAGTTCCCGTGGTCCCTTCTGCAGCTGTCACCAACCAGACAGCATGGTGGCACCGCCTCCCTCAGCAGCCAGGAGGAGCCCAAGGACAAGAAAAGGCTGACCCGGGAGCTGGCCATGGTCCAGGCCAAGCCGTTGCCTTTCCTGTGCCCACAGCCCATTGGCTGGGGAGTGGAGACCGCCTCAGACCAGAAGTAACAACTAGAACCCATCTGATGAACTAAGAGGGAAAATGAACAAGGCGGGTCCTTGCTATTGTGGGCAGGGATGTTCCCTCAGACACGGGTCGGAGGGAATGAGCTCTGCAGAAACCTGGGAGGAGACTGCAGGCAGCGGCAGCAGCGCTGAGGTGGGCCACTTCTAACAGGCGGGAAGACCAGCAGGAGAGACGGGGCAAGCAAAGGACAGGAGCCTTGTCTCACAGGAAAAGAGGGCACAGGGGCTGCCCAGGAAAGTCAAAACCAAGCTCACTGCCATCAAGTCCCTGCTGACTGCTAGCGACCCCCTGTGGGTTTCTGAGACGGCAACTGTCTGCAGGCGTGGAAAGCCCAGTCTTTCTCCCAAGGAGCAGCTGGTGGTTTCGAACCGCCGACCATGTGGATCGCAGCCCAGTGTCTCCGTACTTCATGCAGATCTCATTCTGGCCTTGTCTCCAGATTCTTGAGCAAACTAAGAACCCCAAGTGACCATCAATGAGCTCTCTCCAAGCATGCGCTCAACCATGTTCTCGGCCCCTTGGTGTATGGGCCGCCCACACAGCGTCCCTCGCAAATCTCCCGCTGGCTCTCCAGCTAAGGAAGAGAAGACCACTCTTCCACGGAGCTGAGTTCCAGAGGATGCTGGGAAGGTTTCTCTGGGGCTTGTGCTCAGAGGGCCCGGCCTTCCGGCCTCCCCCTCCCTTCCCTGCCCTCCAAAGAACCATGCGTAATTAACGACGGGGTCTCAAGTGGCTGGGGTCTTCTTTGCGTGCGGTTTATCTCGTTCCCAGGGTTCTCAGAAGCGAGCTATCGCCACCCCAGAAACCCCCCTGACGAAAAGGAACGCGTCCACACGCAGCCCCCGTCAGCTCCTCTCACCATCCAGCTTCTCTCCCAGGTACGCCCCGCTCCCGACTGACACCCAGGGTCCCTGGCCAAAGATGGTGCTGCCCCGGCTGCAGAGCCGCCGGCCCGGCCCTGCCCACTCCTTCTCCCTCCCTCTGGAAAAGTACTGCGTCACGCGGTCATGAAGGAAACTGGCTTTTCTGGGCCTCACTTCCTAGATGAGGAGCTGATAGCCCCTGTGGAAAACAGCTTCTCTATTCAGGAGGCAGGGAGCCTCATGGGTCTCGCCAGGAGAGGTGACCGGGTGCTCACCTGCTTCTGTTGGGTTGTTGGGTTTTGTTCCCCACCCCCCTCAAATCCAGGTATTCCCGTCTGAACAGAAAAGCACGTGGCTTCCTCTGTCACAGTCCAGAGTAACGTGCTTATAGGCCCCTGTTCGGTGACAACTGGTGCCAGCGCCCTTCCCCATCCCTGGAGGCCATGCTGACGCCACGAGGGTTTTGCCCCCCTTGCTCCCTGGCACCTAGATCCACAGAGATCTCGAGTTGTGTTCCGGGAATCTGCCTGTGACCTGTCCTGTTTTCGACTAGAGAGTCCCATATGTAAGGACTGTCCCGTCGGGGATTGGAACGGTCGCCATTGAGGGGAACTGCTCGGAGCTTTTCCCTCTGCACGGAACCCCTTCTCCTGCACTCGCCAGGGCCGAAGGCTTGCCAGCTCTGCTGTCGCTCAGGGCGGTTCTGAGGGGCCCTTCCACCATCCCATGGAAGGGACTGCCTAAGGGACGCTTGAGCAGCTGGGGGAATTGGGCCCTCTCGGGCTTCTTTGAAACCCGGGGCAGAGCAGCCCCTCCAGAGATGCTCAGTCACACTCCCAAAGCGGGCGGACCGATGCGAGCATCCCAGCAGCACATGCCACACCAGACGCCCCTCTGGGTTCTGCAGGGAGAAGCCCAGGGACAGGCCGCCCTTCCAGCCTCCAGTGTAGGCTCATAAAACTGACGTCATTTATGCCCTAGCTTCTGAGTTACGGCCGGGGATGGAGAGCACTGGCTGAGGAGGTGGTTGGTAGCCTCACTGCCAAGGAGGAGGATGTGTGTGCACACAACCCACCCCACCCCTGGGCCAGGGTGCCCCCACGTCGACCTGGTCAGCGTCGAGCAGTGAGCGGAGCCTTCCTTCAGTAGGCTTAGCTGTAAGGATTTGGAGACCCCGTGCTAGAAGCATGCTGGTGTCACAGCAGATGAACACACACACACACACACACACACACACACCCCATGACCAGCCAGTCCTAGGCACAGGAGAGCCACCCCTGGTCGACTGTGAGCACTGGAGACCGTGGGGACGCTGGCCAAGCAGCTGCCTAGCTGACAGTTCCCTGGCACGTCACCTCCTCCAGGGGCGTCTCAATGTCACTCCGAGTCATCTTGTAGTTTCTGCGTGGCCCCAGATGGGTAGGTTTTACTAATGGTCAGCGACTTGCGGCTTCCCCACAGGCGCAGGTGCAGGGAGACTTCAGCAAGGGGCAGCGCAGGGTGCTTGACACTCAGCTGGGCTTTGTACCCCTGGCCTTATTTTGTTTTAAAGCCCGCTCAGCGAGGCTGGGTGTTGTTGCCTTCGTTTCATTCCCCAGCCCAGAACAACCACCTTCGTCCCGTCCCCTGCTCCATCTGCTGGCCCTCCTCAGCCTCTCCTTCCCAGAGGCCAGACCCTTGACATAAAACGTGACACCGGCTTGACTTTGCTTCCACGAGCCCCAGTTCCAAAAGGCACCTCGCTGTTTCCTTCCCGCCCCGCTGGCTGCGAGGGAAACCCAGTAACCTTCTCTGATCTTGCTTCCTCCCAGTGCTACCCCCTCTCAGAAGTACAGCTCGAGGGGTCACCGAGGGGAAGTGGTGACCTTCTTCGGTGAGCCGCAGGGTGTGTCTTGGTCCGGGCGAGGAGGGGCTGGGAGCATCAGCCTGCAGGTCCTGGGGTGCCCAGAGCCCCTGACCAAGAGCTACAAGTTCATGTTTCAGAAGCTCGCGGATGTCCGAGAAGGTGATGGCCTTTCTTCCCTGTCGCCATGCACACACACACACACACACACACACACACCCCGACCCCAGGGTGAGCTGCTGCAGGACAGCAACTATGCTTCAGCTGTGTGGTGGCACAAAGCCTCGGCACCCCCATGGGTGGAGCGGGTGTTAGACCAGACGTGCCTGTGGGCGAAGACCCATGAAGTCACACCCTTAGTAATTCTCCCAAGTCCCTCACTTCCTGGAGGAAGGGCCACCCCGGCTCCCAGGATCAGAACCTCAAAGCTCTGCCAAGGGGTGGCTCCCAGGGAGTGTGGGAGGCATGCATGGCTTCTACCTGGTCTCGTGGAGAGTGGAGACCCTGCCCCAGCTTGGGCCTCAGGGACTGCCCGAGTGAAGGCATACTGGGGGTGCCGGAGGGATTGTGCCACATGATACCCCGTGGCGGGATGGGAGGCCTCGTTCTACCGCCCACCCGGCTTGCTTCTGTAAGGCCCTGCAGAGCTTCCTCGGCTTGGCAAAGTTAACTTTTTTTAAATGCAACCCCTCTCTTCCTGTGCAACTCCAGTTCTGACCTGTAGGATAGAGGAACTTGGCAGTGAACTCAAGGAGCACTATAAGATTGAGGCATTCACTTCCATTCAAGCCCCGGCACAAGTAAGAGTTGTCTGGTTCTTGCTGATTGACCTGGTTGGTCGGGTTTCTTAGTGGCAGCCTGCCCGCAGCCCCTTTCGCCCCGTGTACATTCTCGGCAGAATGGGTCCTGGGCAGGCAGATCTACGAGCACATGTGTCTTCTTCCCTCCGCTTTGGGTCTTAAACACAAGCAGGAGCCAATGGTCTTGGGCCCCTTAGTGGAGCCCCTTGGCGTTTCCCACAGACAGAAACATTCAAGTCCGGTCCTGGGCAAGGGAGGTTTTTCAGAGTCCTGTTGGTGTGGTGGTTACGTGTTGAGTTGCTGACTTCGAGGTGAGCAGTTCAAAACCACCAGCCGCTCCTCGGGATAAAGATGAGGCTTTCTAGTCCAAGGACGAGTGACAGCCTCCAAAACTCACAGGGCCAGTTCTGCCCTGTCCAGTAGGGTTGCCGTGAATCTTTTTTTTTTTTAATTGTATTAGCAATGACTCCTCATTGATCCCCAGTGTCCTCTCTCCTTAGACTGGGCACTGTCCATAGTGTCTCTCCATCAGAGTTTAGTCTGGCGGAAGCAACCGGACTTCTTCTCAGGGACTTTTTTTAAATCAAAGGAAAGATGAGTTCTAGAAAATTCCTTAAAGTGCCTCTGTCGTACATTTAAGAGCCCTAGCCGGGCTGTCGGCCAAGTTAACCACGAAGTCAGCGGTTCAAACCCACCAGCCACTGTTCCCTTAAAGATGTACGGCCTTGGAAACCCCTGAGTCAAAGCGGACTCTGTGTCTGCCCTCAGAGAACGGACAGCCCTGTCCTGTAAGGAAGTAGGTTGACTTCTTGGGTTTCACGCCAAGGTGGGAACAGGAGAGAGGCAGCCACCGAGGAGTGAGAGTCTGACTCCATTTAACAGGGCACATCCTGCTAAGAGGCGGGGCAGTGCTCGGAAAAAGGTGTGGATCCAGAGCCGAGGATCTGGGCTTGAAAACGTGGGCTTCACCCGCTATTGGACCCTGACTATGTTATCTAACCTCTGGGTGGCTCCTGTTCCCTCACTGTAAAATGGGCTTGGTCATAGTATCACAAGTGCCCCAATGCCAATGTCCAACTTAGGGACAACTCCTGCTGCCCCCAGTGTGGCGCAAATTTGCTCTCACTTGGAAATGAGCTCACCCACCCCTGGCAGCAGATTCCTCAGCCGCCTCCTCTGTGTGCACCTGTGTTCTAATCCTAGTTTAGGCTTCCAGCTTGTTCTTGCCTGAGCAGCAAACCCACTGCCCTCGAGCCGGTCCCGACTCAGAGACCCCATTGGGCAGGACAGCCCTGCCCTGAAAGGTCTCCACGCCCATCTGCAGGGAGCAGAGTCTGGTCTCTCCAGGGGGCAGCCAGGGGGTGGACACCACTGACCTTGCAGAGCCACCAGACCCCTTTTCTCCTGAAATAAGACCTGCTCCACCTGGCCTACAAATTCCACTTGTGGACACACAAGGACCAGGTGGCCTTTATACCAGGGGGCTGCCTGTGTCCACCTCAGGGTGGTTGCGGGGACTGGGTGAAAGTCTTTATAGAGAAAACCAGGGTTGGGGGGGTTGGAAATACTGCCATGGAGTCAGTGCTGGACCCTGTAGGACAGTAGAGCTGCCCCTGTGAGTCCCCAGACTAACCCTGCGGGAATAGAAAGCCTCATCTTTCCCCCACGGAGCAGCTGCTGGTTTCAAACTGCTGGCCTTGCACTTAGCAGTCACAGTAAAGGCTGGCTATGGTTAACGGTGAAAGCTCCCCAAAGATGCAGTGGGGGCCGGGGCCATGTTCCACTAAGGCCCCGCTTGGGGCCTGGATGGGCTCTATGTCCCCCAAGGGTTTGGTGGCAGTGCTGGGTCACCTCCAGGTCCAAGGTGACCCCCAGGGAGGTCCTGCTGTGGTCTGGGGCTTGTCTCACACGTGTCCCGTTGGCCTCAGATCCTGGACGCCTGCTCCAGTGTCCTCAGGCCATTTCGCTGCTTCTACCCCCCACCCCCCAGGAGCCCGTGACGATGCTGGGCCGGATCGGCTGTGATAGCAACGGAAAGCTGAACAGCAAGTCCGTGATTCTCGAGGGAGACCGGGAGCACTCCTCGGGCGCCCAGATCCCAGTGGACCTATCCGAGCTCAAGGAATACTCCCTGTTCCCTGGACAGGTAGGACCAGGAGCAGCAGCCATGGGCTGTGAGCATGCAGTTGGCATTTCTAGAGCGGCTCTGGGAGTAAACATTTTATTGGTAGGCAGCTGCTGCTCCCTAAAACCATGCGGGTGCCCGTGGGTGAGGGTGCAGGGCCTGGCCTTCCCCTGCTCTTGGCTGGCACCCAAGTCGAGAGGGTGATGAGCAGGCAACGGGCCCTCCCTAAGCTACAGCGTTCTCTGTGACATGGGAAGACGCATGCTTATCTCAGAGCGGCTGGATGGCTGACTGTCATGGCACGTGGTTATCCTCCTCCTCAGCGGCCGTGGCTGGTTTCTGGAAGACAAAACACCCCACCCGCCCCGTTCATCTCCAAAGGCGAGCGCTGGCCGGCACAGGCGTCTATCTCTCCTCTCCCAGCTTCAGCCGGCGTGGTTCCCTCCCTGTCTTTCAGGTTGTCATCATGGAAGGATTCAATGCCACGGGCAGAAAGCTCATTGCCACCAAGCTCTACGAGGTACCCCGCCAGCCCCTTCCCGACTCCCCCCGCAGGATGAGCAGCCCCGGCTGTCGTAGAGCCTGCTGATTCGTGTCTCGCTGTGGACGATGGGGCCAGGCTGGCCGTTCCTCCAGGCAGGGCAGCCCCGATTTTCTGAGAGGCCTGACGGTCTCCGTCACAAGGGCTCTGCCCTGCCAGGGTAGCCCAGCGCAGCCCTCGGTCACTCAGCAGCGAATGGATGGGCTGTGCCCAGGGAAACTGTCTTTATGACACTGGTCCCTCGGCTGCCCTGCACCAGCCATGCCCTCGCTGCAAGGAGAAGTGCCGGGTGTTCTGCCCGCAGCCTTGCCTGGAAGCATGCCGATGGTGCAGGCATCCCGGCCCCGCCCACCGCGTGCAGGCTGATTCCTTGCAAGGAGCCCAGTGCATGGTGGCTAAGCACTTGGCCACTGGGCCGAAGCTGGCCATTTGCAGCCAGCCGTTGTGTCCGTGGAGATGGCAGCCTCTGGGACCGTTCTGCTCAGTCACCTGAAGGCACCAAGCGGCCCGTGGCTTCCCGTAACCGAGTCCTCTGCCACCGGGGCAGCCCCATCAGCACTGCAGCTGGGCCCCCGGCCCGGGCCGTGGGGCCCAACGACCTGCCTCCGGTTTTAAAGGCAGGCCCCCTCCCCTCCAACAACCCCCCCAAAAAGAAGGAAGGGAAGCCGGGGGCCAGTGGTGGTGTCCAACCTTGAGGGTGGGGGCAAGGGCCCAGGAGCAGAGGCCACGGGTTGCTCACGTGGTCACCTGCACCTGATCCCCGCACGTGCCATCCCAAGACGAAGGCATCACCGGGTGGCAGCTTGCTTGGAGGAGGAAGTAGAAGCCGTTTGGAAATTAATTTCTCGAAAGGCTCTTGTACTCGGTCCAGATCCTGGAGGAGAAAGGGGCGTCTGTGGGAGATCAGAGCAATCCCCATACAGTCGGGGTGCCGGGAACCGTCGCAGGCCGGTGCCGGGCTTTAGTTTGACAAGGAGGGAGGGTCTCTTTCCCGATGGGAGGCCCGGCTCCACTCAGCAGTCAGCGCACCTCACTCACAGCCCCCACCCCTCCCTCGCGGAGGCTGGCGAGCTGCTGCTGCTGCTGCAGTACTGACCCATGTCCACGGCGTGTCCAGCCTGGGGAGTGGAAGAAAGGCCCGGTGAACACCTTCTGAAAACCTGGGGACCCAGGGGCCCCTTCACGGCCTCGAGGGACGGTCCAGCATCCGTAATGCCTTGTTAGACCGCGCAGGAAGCCGTGCTCACAGATGAGACATCAGTGGGAAGTGGGAGACGCGCCCTCCAGCCCCGCACCCACACTCGAGCTCCCGCACCCGCACAAGGTCTGCGGTTCCAAAGTCACTCCCAAGTCGGAAGTTGCCGTGAGAAAGCCTAGAATGATCTGGTAGCTGAGCTTAGGTAGACAAGAGGCCAACAAATCACACACACACAAATTTAACAAATTTTGTTGTTTGCTTATAAATCGTTTCATTAGGGGCTCTTAAAACCATCCATACATCAATTGTATCTAGCACATTTGTACCTAGACGCCATCATTTTCTTTTTTTAATGTTAATAAGTCATTTTATTGGGGGCTCATACAGCTCTTATCGCAATCCATACATCCGCTCATTGTGTCAAGCACATTCGTACAATTGTTGCCATCATCATGCTCAACATTTTCTTTCCACGTGAGCCCTTGGTATCAGCGCCTCGTGTTTTTTCCTCCCTTCCCTGCTTGTTTTAGGGTTTTCAGAGCTGTGACCTTTGGGAAGCAGTTCGTCAGGCCTTGCCTACAAGTCCCCTCTGAGGGGGGTTGGCCGGCCTACCTTTTCGTTAGTAGTTCAGTACTTAACTGTTTGCTTCTCAGTAGCCTCTCAAGAGCCGAAACTCCTTGCTGCGAGCCTGTAGTAGAGGGTAGGACTGCCCCTGTGAATTTCTGAGACTGTAGAAAGCCTCGTCTTTCTCCCATGCAGCAGCTGGTGGTTTTGAACTGCCGACCTTGGGGATCGAAGCTTGTAACCATTCTGCCACCAGGCCTCCTCAGGCAGGCTCTAGGAGCTAGACAAGACAGAGCCACCAGGTCCTCTGTGGAGCCTTCTAGAAGGTCCCTTGTGCGCACACCTGCCTGGCGTATTCTTCTAGGGCAGCAGTGAGATCTTATTCCTCCTCCGCTCCCCGAGTTGTGCGGCAAGGAGGCTCTCCGTAAATTGACTCTGGGCATCTGGGGTCTGTCTCCCCTACCGTCCCAGCGTCTGCCACCATCCAGCCCAGACCTCGCCCTCCTTCCCATCACAGATCTCGAGCAAATAATGGTTCTGCTGGCCTGCGGACCCTACACCACCTCGGACAGCATCACATATGAACCCCTGCTGGACCTGCTCGCCGTCATCAACCGAGACCGGCCCGATGTCTGCATCCTGGTATGAGGCCCCAAGCCAGGTCGCCTCCCTGGGGGCGTAGAGGGTAACTTCAGACTACGTGTCCCCAGTGGTGTTCTAGGTCGGCGGGGGTTGGGGGTGCAGGGCGCTTTATGTTTTAGGTCTTACTCTGCGTCTTGAGAAGGGCAGGCCAGCCGGCCGTGACCAAATCTCAGAGCCTTGTTGAGCAGTCCAGGCATCACGGTGGGCCAGTGGTGACGCGTTGGGCTGCTAACTGCAAGGCCAGCGGTTCGAAACCACCACTGGCTCTACAGGAGGCAGACGGGGGTTTCCTGTAGAGTCACTGCCCTGGAGGCACACAGGGACAGTTCTCCCTGCCCTTTGGGGTCTCTGTGGTCAGCATTGACCCGATGGCAGGGAGCCGTGCTTTGTTTTGCCCAACAGTCCAGTGCTGTTATTTCTGGCGCATTCCTTCTGAGCCTGCCTGGGGCTTCAGGGTTCAGAGCAGGACTTAGGGTGGCGGACAGTGCCCCCTGCAAAGCGTGAAAAGCCAGAGGCCGTGTGAGGTGGGCACCGGGGCAGCGGTTATTACAGGGCTCTGGGCAGTCTCCATCCAGGGCTCATGTCCTTCTGCCTGGGTGACTCCCAATGAGAGTCATGGAGGGGGCACAGGCAAGCCAGCTGTGAAAACTGCCCAAAGTGTTCAGAGACCAGGGGTTCTGGTTCGCCCTCTGACCCCTGGTTTCCTCTCCCTCCCTCTACAGTTTGGACCCTTCCTGGATGCCAAGCACGAACAGGTGGAGGTGAGCGAGCTCCCACTGCTCCTGTCATCTTTCAGCCTGTGCCCAGCACCTGCCACACCTCAGCCAGTCCCAGGGCTCCCCAGGGAAACCCTGCATGGGGCAGGCATGTAGACAGATGGCTGGGGGAGGGGCACACCGATTCACCCTGGAGTCCCTGTGTTTGTGACATGTGACATGGAGGCCCCGGAGCCGGGCTGGTGAAAGTGCCTCCCCTCGCTGGCTGCTCCTTTCAGCTCCCGGGTCCCCATCCATCGAGGGCGGGGCTGCTGCCCTCTTCCTTCGTCTCAGGTACAGACAGGTCTGTAAAACAAGCCTCCTTTAGGTCTCTCCACCCCCAAACACACACACACACACACAGACTCAGCTAAGCACAGGGCCACGGCTCTTCATCGTTGGCGTGCCCCTCTGCTCCTCGCCGCCCCTCAAGCCCCTGGCATCGCCCACACACAGTAGACAAGCATGGCCGAGCCTCTGCCTTTCCCTCCCTGCAGAGCTGCCTGCTCACCAGTCCGTTTGAAGACGTTTTCAAGCAGTGCCTGGGCACCGTTATCGAAGGGACGAAAAGGTCAGTCGGTGCAGAAAGGCACTTCCCCGTCCCCTCAGACAGCAGCTCTCGGCGAAGCTCGGAAGTGCAGATGAACGTGCTTGAGAAGCAACCCCAGCACCCGCCTCCCCCTTCTCCCCTCCTGGGCATAAACTGCCCTGTGTCCGGGAACATCGGGGAGCCCTGGGAGGGATCGGAGGCACAGAGCACCATCTGGGGAGGCCAAGGGCCTTTGGTGGTCAGGGCGAGGCCAGGTTCCTCCCTCCCTCCGGTCACGCCAGCGTCCGTGGGGGTGGGTGGAACGCGGGGCGGGAGGGTGGAGACGACCCTGGAGGAGGCCCGTTGGCGATGACAAGGGACAGTTCTCATCTGGGCGCAGGAAGTGGCCGAGGCCAGAGTGGACCGCCGTCTGTCCAGGAAGCTGCCATGCTGCTTCTCAGCCCCCCCAGAGGAAAGGCAAAAAGCCCGTCTCCCGGGGCCCCCTCGTGGCCCCTGTCCTGTCCCAGGCGGAGGTGGGGCCCATTAGAAACCCAACAAGTCGTAGTGAAAAACAAACATTCCTGAGGCAAAGCGTTAAAAACAAGCCGGAACAACAAAGGTGGATTTTGAAACCAGACTCATCTTCCGCCCTTTGGCCGTGAGAACTGATCCCAGAGTTGATTTTGTGGAAACGCAACCTTAAGGCCCGACAGGCTGGGGCCCAGAACTCCCCCAGTCGGGGCTGGCCTTCCCCTCCCTCCCTCCGAATGGGGACCTCAAACGGAGGCCCTGCAATGCAGCAGCAGGGCTGGCGCCCGTGTCGCCAGCCCAGCCCGTGGCCTTGCTGCAGAGAGGCAGGGTCGAGTCACGTGGACTGGGTGCCCTCGGTTGTGGCCGGGGCTCTGGCCCCATGTGGCATCGACAGCAGTGATGTAAACAAGGAACAAGCCCGACATTGTCAGGCCGGCCGAGGGCCTAGCACCACCAGCCGCTTTCGTCTGTGGCCGGCCGGCGCAGGACGGGACTGCCCCACCCCTCCCCAAACGTGTCCCTCCATCAGAGACCTTGCTTTTGATTCCTGAGAGACCACAAATGCCTGCTTGCTGGTACAACCCGGTCCAGACCGCCAGGCCCCAGCCCAGCAGAGCCCCACCCACATGGTGTGCAAGCCGGTGCTGGAGCCCGAACATTGTTGGAATTCTCTTCCTGACCCCTCCTCCAGCCCGTCACCCCGAGCAGCAGCCTCTTTAACACTTCCGTCCCCAGTGCCTTCGGCAACTGGCTCTCCCGGCAGGGGCCACCTGCACCCCAGCCTTGGTGTGCAGCCTGGACCAGGGGCTCCCGGCATCCGGGCACAGAGTACCCCCACCCGTGGACGGACTGCAGCAGCCACACTGGATGGGCTTGGCTGGTCTGGGTCCTTCCCTGTGGCCACTTCCACAGCAAGGGCTGCTCACTGATGGGCAGAGAGCTTGGGTCTTCAGCTTCTGGTGTCCTGTTAGAAGTCTGCTCAGGCCAGAAGCCGGCAGGACAAAGCTGGGTTAGAGTGACAACAGCCACGGGCAGGATTGTCATGTTACAAAGACACCTCTGGTACCTCGGCCTGGGAGGGTGGAAACTAAGCAAAGAGGGAGCTGGTGTGAGAGCACCAGGGGGCCTGGGAGGCAGGCTTTCTGCCCTTCCTCTGGGGGCGCTGAGAAGGCAGATCAGTGGTCCCTAGGGCTGCGGCTTCACCCTAGAAATGCACCTCTGTCGTTTTGCACAAGGCCCTCTGCTGCCTTCCACACACCCCTCCCTCCGCACTCGCGGGTGTCTGAGCAGCGTGTCCGCTGCCTCCCAGGAGAGCGCCCCGCACGGCTCAGGCCTTGTCAGGTCGTGTGTCTGATGTCCATGAAGGTCAGACCGCGGGCAGTGGCCAACCACTGGTGTCCCTTGGGGCTGGCCTCTTTCTGTCCTAGCTCTTCCACCCCAAGGGCGACTTAGGTGAGCTGAGTTTTGGGGGGTGTTTGTGATGTGAATCAGAACAAGTGTCCTTGTTCATGTGTCTCATGGGAGGTGCCACCTTTCCTCAGGCTGCTGCTGTGACGCCACTCAACCCCAGGACCGAGCCAGGAGGGCCCTGCCAGGTGTCCAGGGCTGTCTGGCGGCAGGGTGCCACCCCTTTCTCAGGTGGGGCAGCCGCTGGGTGCTTATCCTGGCACCAGCAGGCCTCCCCTTTGGAGACAAGGCCTCTGCAAGCGTCCTCGGAGGAGGAGGGCTCCCGCGGGTGCTGTCCAGCTGTTGGGGCGCCCGGACACCCACTTCCCTCCCTCCCTCCCTCTTGTGCCAGCTCCGGCTCCCACCTCGTCATCGTCCCGTCCGTGAGAGACGTGCACCACGAGCCGGTGTACCCACAGCCGCCTTTCAGCTACGCCAACCTGTCCAAAGAGGACAAGAAGGTAGCCCGCCCTCCTCAGCCGGCCCCTCACCTGTCCCCAGAGCGCAGGGTAGAGGCACCTCCAGACGTGCCTGAAGCGTCCGCCGCAGGCATCAGTGCTGCTCATCCTGTTGCCCCGTCCTCCCTCCGGTCATCCTCCCTGGCCCTCGGAGAGCCTCCGTGTCCCCTGGGAGGAAGGCCTGTCACAAGCGTCCGTCTCAACCCCTGTCGTTGCAGCGCGTGCACTTTGTGTCCGAGCCCTGCAGTGTCTCCGTAAACGGGGCCGTCTTCGGCCTGACGTCCACAGACCTGCTGTTTCACATGGGGGCGGAGGAGATCAGCAGGTAAGTGCAAGCTCGCTGCCCCAGGCCGAGGGAGAGTAGCTGCAATTGATGCCCAGCCCTGGGGAGGGGTGCTGTCATCCCCGCCAGCACCTGAGGGAAAGAGCCTGGTAGTGCTGTGGATTCAGTGTCCGGCTGCTCTCTGCAAGGGTCCCCGGTTCAAGCCTACCAGCTGCTCCCAGGGTGAAAGATGAGGCTGCCTGCCCAGCTCCCCTGCTGAGTCGGTACCCACTCTACGCAGTGGGTTTGGTCTGGGGACAGTCACCCAAGGAGAGCAGTTGTGTCCGTTTATTTATTTATTAAGTGGTTTGATTAGGGGCTCATACAGCTTTTATCACAATCCATGAGTCCATCCACTGTGTCAAGCGCATGTACATCTGTTGCCATCATCATTCTTAAAACATTTTCTTTCTACTTGAGCCCTTGGTATCAGCTCCTCAATTTTTTTCCTCCCTCCCTTATGAACCCTGGATAATTTACTTTTCTTTTTTTTTTTTTACACTGACCGCTGTCTCCCTTTATCCACTTTTCTGTTGTTCGTCCCCCTGGGGTGGGGAGGTGGTTTTCCTTCCATCACTGTGATCAGTGTCTGTCCCCCTGGGGTGGGGGTGGGGGTGATCGGTTCCCACATCCTTCTGTTTCTGTCACCACTGGCTTGCACCTACACCAGGCCAGAGAGACGCCGTCGTGTCTGGACATGTGATTTAGAGTCTTGGCAGTTCCTTGCCATTCTCTCCTCGGCCGCCCCCCCCCTCCCCATCCCAAGTGTGGCACAGAGCCAGTGTGGCGTGTCCCTGGGGCGGGTGGCCTGTGAGGTCACTTGGAAGGGTTTCCCCTTTGCTTGAACCACAGAGAACACTGGGGAGACCCACACCCAGCCGCAGCTGAGGGTAGGCCCAGGCTGTCCCGGCTTCAGGCCTGTGGAGGAGGAAGAGGAACAACATGTTCACTGAGGTGGGCGTGTCCGCTGAGGTCAGGGTCCCCAGGCCAAGGCCACCCTCACCTCCTGGAGGAGCAGACTGTGTCCTCTTGCGCCCAACGGCCTGCCTTGATCTTGAGGACAAGGGACTCCTGTCTCCCCCTTCGCTCTCGGGTAGCACAGACAGAAGTCCTGGGGGCGGGCCCTTGGCTTCCCCAGAGGTGTTCGCTGTTGCTGTGTTCAGCCAGCCGGCTTCGGCCCTGTCGGTGAGCCCCTTCAAGCCCCCGAGGCAGCAGGCACTGACAGGCATGGCTCCAGTCCCACCGCCTGCTTTTCCTCTGCCCAGTTCTTCGGGATCCCCCGACCGCTTCAGCCGCATCCTGAAACACATCCTGACCCAGAGGAGGTGAGCACCCACCTGCCCGGGAGAGGAGAGGACTTGCGTTCTGCCCCCTGCAACAGAGATGGGCATGGGGGGGTGGACAGCCTGTTAGAAGCCAGTGACATGGGGGGTGGGGAAACGGGGGCGCCGTGTCACTTTCTGCTGACCGTCTGGCTGCGTCTCTCTGTCTCCATAGCTACTACCCGCTCTACCCTCCCCAGGAAGACATGGCCATCGACTATGAGAATTTCTACACCTACGCCCAGCTGCCTGTCACCCCTGACATCCTGGTCACCCCATCGGAACTGCGGTATTTTGTGAAGGTGGGTCTGAGCGCCTTTTCAGGAACACAGCCAGCCTCTGGCTTTGCCTTCAACACCGCCCAGAGCCCACTCCTCATAGGTCTGCTGACAGGTGGGGTGGCCGGGTGGCCCACCATTGGGGCCTTGCTGTTTTTGGAGAGCGGGTGGGACCAGAAGACAAAGTTGCCCCTAAAATGCTGTGTGACCTGCCCTTTCCCCAGAGGATGCTGCCGAGTCGAGGTAGCAGTCCTGGGAGCCCAGGTTAGCAAGTAGGGGACCCCCCCCACCCCACCCCCACCAAAGCAGGAGTGTTCACCCAAGGCCACATGGGGTTAACCTCCGGAACATTCCACAAATACATTTTCCCCTGTGACCTCTTGACGGGCTTAACCGAGACCACTTTGAAGTCCCGTCCTGATCATTTCCCATCTGGGGCCACCCAAGGCCCGCCACTCGGGACAGGGTGCTGGGCTCCCAGCTGGACAGCCTGCCCCTCGGACCCAGAGGTCGTCAGCCCCTACAGACAGGAAGCAGTGAGTAGCGGGCAGGGCCGGTGGACGCCTCCGCCAGGCGGCCTCACTCGCCCTCCTCTGTCCAGAGGCTCCGAGCATTTCTGATTGATTGCGGGTTCCGGGACTCTGGGGGTCTCACCCTCCCCTTGCTTTTTCAAAATTGTGGGGGCCTCGGTGCCCCGTTGACATGGGTCTTTCCTCCCCTCTCCCCAGGATGTCCTCGGCTGCGTCTGTGTGAACCCTGGGCGCCTCACCAAAGGGCAGGTGGGGGGCACCTTCGCTCGGCTCTACCTCCGGCGGCGGCAGCCCGAGGAGGAGGCAGGGAGGCGGGGTCTGTCTGTGGCAGCCCAGGTGGTCAGGATCTGAGGGCCAGGCCTTTGTGGTCCCCAAGGGCCACATGCCAGGCCGCCCCCAACCCAGGAGCTGGCGAGGAGTCCAGACTTGTGGAAGATGGTGGAGGAAAGAGAGGCCACCTGCTGTGCCAGGAGGACTGCAGGGCAGGCCCCTTGGGGAAGACCCCCTGCAGCTGGGCGCTGGCGGCTCCGGATTAAGTGACTACACCCTAAGGCCCCCGTGGAGTTCAGGGGGATGGGACACCCTGCTCGGTGATTTTTCTACGCGCATCAAACACAGAAATAACTCTTAGAGGAATAACAAATATATTCTGAGGATCATCTCTCTCCCGCTCGCTCCTCCTTCTTCCTGGTAGCTGGCAGGGAACCAGCCAGGTGATGTGTATCTGTTAGTGCCCCGGAAACCCCCCCTCAGTCCCAGCCCTCCAAATGCTCCCAAGTTTGCTGCGCGCCCCACCCCCTCACCCACACACGTGTGCCCCATGGTCCCCCTGACCACTCCATCTTGAAGGGCAGCCTCACGGATGGAGCTGGTCCAAAGGGGGCCTGCTCAGCAGCCCAGAACATTTGGGCCTCCCTATCCCTGGGCTGCTGGCACCTTGGAGACAGGCCGCTTCTAAGCTTGGCGGGCTTCTGCACTAAGTTGCAGGCTGCCCTGCCCCACCCGGCTGAGCCAAGGCCTGGGGTATGTGAGAGAGCAGCAGGCCCGATGCCTTTGCCCTGACTCATTGATAAATAGGTGACCAAACACTCCCAGCCTCTGCCTCCCCCTCCTCGGGCTGGGCCAGTAAGACTGGCCTCTCTCAAAGCCTCGGGGGCAATATGCTTGTTTCCTTTCCTCAGGAAATAGCCCCCTCCTTATCAGGATGAGAATTAGGAACACACCCCAAAGGAGCAGGATTTTTCCCTGCAGCCTGGGCCAAGGGGCATTGGACTGGGTGGGCGAGGCAGCAGGGCAGTGTGGGCCCTTCCTGACAGCCTGGTGCCGTCGTCCGCTGGGCGCTCTCCCCTTGTATTCCCACCAAGCTCAGTGTCAGCCCCAAGCCGGCCCGCCTTAGCAAGCCTGTGTCTGGAGATTAACTCAGCCTTCCCCGGCAGATAAACCAGCTCGGCTGAGGGTCCCCCAGCCTTATCAGGGCCACACACGTGGGAGCCTCGACCCAGAGTGTTCTCTTGACCACTAACAGTCTTGGCGAGGACAGTAGCGTCTTGGTTCCCACCTGGAAACGTCCAGAGCCCTCTTTCTGGGCCTTAGTAAGATTCAGGACAGTCCTACAGCCTTGGGAATGGGGGTGCCCCCAGGAGGGGAGGATAGTGTGCTTCCCGGCGAGGGAAATTGTGCCAGGGGTGGGGGGCCGGGCACCCTCTCCCCCACCTGCTGCCCAGGGAAGAGCGAGGACAGGGCAGCCTTCCCCGCCACCCGCTGCCCACCCTGGAAGAATGGGAGCCAAGTGCTCTGTTGCCTGGATACCAGTCGTGGGACTGTTGGAGAGGGCCAGGATGGGCGTCCGACGCACCCTGAAAGAGAGGATCCAGCCCCCGAGAGGACCGGGCAGGCCGACGTGCCTCCCTGCCACCAGACGGTTCCTCTTCACTCTTGTCAGGAGCTCGGCGCCAAATGACTGCTGGCTGACTTCTCCGAGATCCCCCTCCAGCGGTGTCACCGCTTCCTGCTCTGCAGGGCCAGGGCTCCCGCCCTGAAGAGGGAGGCCTTGGGTGGTGGGGTGTCCAAGGCTGAGGAGACCCCGGGGCTGGGCCTGGGCTGAGACCACTCCCTCCTGTGCCGTTGCCTCTGAGTCTTGGAGTCAGTTCCCCATGGGCTGCGGCACCTCCTAGAGCACCCGGCAGCAAGGCCGGCGAGGCCCCAGATCTGTGGGTCAGGCATTTGCCTCCTGACTCACGTGTTTGCAGGGTCGACACACCCCATCAGCAGCTCAGAGGACAGGCCGCTGGCTCAAGTTTTGAGACCAGGAGGTCAGCTAATGATAAGCCACCTGCAAGGCCCAGAAGGAGAACTTTGCCAGAGCCTTCCTGTGTGTGTATGTAGGGGCCTGCCCTCCAGGAAGCCCCCCTACTTCATCACTGAACTGCTAAACTACGGAGAACCATGGTCCGGCCAAGTGGACCCATAAATCTTAACTATTTGTGTTTGCCGCAAGATATCTGTCCTGGGAAATGAGGTGCGGCCAGAAAGGCGGCTGCCCCTGGCCCGTGACACACTGCACGTTCGTGGGGAGCCCGGTGCTGAATCATTCGTAGAGGACCTGCTTCTGGTCCTGGGTATCATTCGTAGCAGAGCGGCTCCCGCGCTGCAATCTCTTAAAAGTCAGCCCTCCACACAAGGGTATGTGGCGTGCCCGGGTCCGGTGGGGAGAGGATAGGAGGTGGAACCTGCTTGCTTGCTCGCTCCCAGCAGCATGCCTCCCGTTGGGCCCGATACCGCCGAGGTCAAATCAGCAGGGCCCCTGGGGTGGCCTCTCTCCCCACCTGGCTACGGGCATGCTGCGGAGGCTGGCCGACCACCTGCATCCCGTCCGTCCCGGCTAGCTAAGGTCTGCGCGTCTCTCTCCCTCTTGGCCCCCTCTCAAAAAAAAAGCAAGGTGTCCAGTCCCCTTGGTGGACCACAACACCCCTTCCGTGTTATTTGCGTGTTGTTGGTGCAGCAGAGTCCGTTCTAACAGCAACTCTGGACGGCAGCCTGAATCACCCTCAGGGTTGTGAGCTGTGTGCATTGTCGCCGCCACTGTGTCCATCCATTTCATGAAGGCCCTCTCTGTCCCACTGACCCTCTACCGAGCACAGTGTCCTTTTCCGGAGACTGGCCTCTCCCGACAGCATATCAACGGCGTGAGACAGTCTTTTCCGGCCGTACACTTTCTCCAGAACAGGTTTGAGTCTGTTTATCCTTCCGGCAGTCCACTGGACTGTTGATGGTCTCTAAGGTGGTGCGTCAGAGCCACCGATTCTGCCGTCCTCCTTAGCCCTTGTCCAGCTCTGAAGCCATTGGCAGTCTGGCCCGAGTCGGACACATGTCGTCCTCAGAGTGACATCCTGCCTCGTCACCGTTCTGTGCAGCAGATGTGCCCAATGCAGCGTGCCGTTTGATCTCGCCTGCTGTTTAGGGAGCATTGATTGTGGGTCCAAGCAAAACGAAATCCCTAACCGCGCTTTCCCCCACTGGTCATGATGCTGTCTGTTGGTCCGTGGCTGGGGCTTTTCGTTTTCTGTGCATTGAGTTGAACCCAGAAGGAAGGCTGCATTCTTTCGTTTTTCTTCAGCAACTGCCCCAGTCCTTGTTTTCAGCAGGCAGGGCTGTGTCGTCCGAACACCGCTGGGTCATGGGACTTCCTCCAAGCCCGATGCCGTGTTCACATAACCCTGACGGCGCTTCCGCTGCGCTCTGAAATGCACACACAACCCACTAGGACAAACTGACAGAGGAAGGGTGGGAATTCTTTGCACCGTCCCACCCAGGTATTGTGGGCGAGTTGCAAAGATGATGAGTAAATGCACTGTCACACAGTCCATTCTGATTCATTTTGACCACAGAGGACAGAGGGAAACGGCGCCCCAGGGTTGCTAGGCTGTCAGCCTCTGAAGAAGCAGGCTGCCTCATCTTCCCACAGAGCGGCTGGTGGGTTGGAACCACTGACTGACCTCTGTCGGCAGCCCACACTGAACCCCCTGGTCTCACTGCCCTCGGAGCATGCTCAGTAATTCACTGGGCCACAGCCACGCCCGTGCCACTGAGCTCCAGGCAGTTCTCAGGGAAATAACCCCTGTTCTCTGACCCAGGGTTCGGCTCCCACCCCTCGGTGCCCCAGCCCTGGCAGAGCAGCTGCCGCTCCCTGGCCCCTGACTTGATCCCTTGAGCGGCTGCCCCCAGAGAGGGTCACAGGATCCTGGCCGGCTGAGGGGGACAAAAGCCCCTCTTAGCTCCCCACGCGTGAGACCCGAGTGGGTGAGGGGCGCTGGGCTGGTGGGACGGGGGCAGGGCCAGACTGCTCCTCGGGCCTCAGTGTCCAGCTGGCCTTCCTCAGCCACCTCAGGCCTGGCGTTTGTTTCTTTTCCCTTAACCTCTGCTGGGGTCACCCTGCCGGGCGCTGCTGCTTCCCCCAGGTTCCCTATTTTCGTGGTTTTGTTTGGTACGAACTTCCTTTCCCCTGACCCCAGCCTCTTGGTCAAGCCACCTGAGAGCCAGTCCTGGGTGCGCCCACATTGGCCTCCTTCCCACCGGAGCCCGCGGGCCGGAAAGGCCCAGGCTTTAGGGGTTTTAGGCTTGGTTTGTTTAACAATTTTT